AGACTTGAGCCTGGTGGTCTCTGCCAACCTGCCCCTTTCACCTCCAGAAATAGCTCTCCCTGATGGATGCCTAGCCATTCCAGACGGACTTCCCTGCCCTCCAAAACCTCTCCTCTAAAAAGCCCAGTTGAAAGAGAAGGGGAAACACCACAGCTGTTTTATCAGTAAGTTGTGCGCTTCTGAGAGGGTGCGTTCTGGTCACTTGTTTGTAATAAAAATGGCTGTCTTCCTTCAGCCCTGGCTTATCTGTTCAGGGACTTTTCACTCATTATTGATCTTCCCACTCTTTGATCTCCCCTTTCATTTGAATGCCACCCACGCTGTCTGGGGGGCACCAAGGGGAGCCCACCCCCCAGCCTCTCTATTCAACAGTGATGATAGGCAAACAAACCCTGGGGCACTTGGGGAGCAGAGGAGCCCTGCAGCCAGCTCCCTGGGGCCTGGGAATTGTCATTCCTGAACGCATTTGTTTTCTAAGTTCTTCTGCCAAGTTTCTACGGGAGCAGAGAGATCGCGTTCTCCCTTTTCAAAGAGAAGGGTGAGTTGAGGCCTCAGGTTGGCAAGTCCTTTAAAGTCATTTTCAAAGGAAACCGGAGCTGGCAGGCCAGGCGGTTGACAGAGGGTGGTGTGACTTTCAGAGGCTCTCTCTGGGGCTTTGGGTGGTCAACTCCCCGTAGGCCACCCAGCACGTGCTCGGAGCCTGCCCCAGAGGCACTGCCAAGGGGCACGCCGCTGGTCAGGCAGACTGGTGGCCCAGGGGGGGCAAGGCTGCATGTGCCTGCCCCTCTGCCACCCAGGAATGGGAGGCAGGTGGGCAGACTTTCCCCTCTGGGCCAAGGGCCAGACCCACACTTGTCTTCACTGTTGGACCCATCCGTCAAACTCGATCCATGGGGCACTTTGAGGTAAAAGAAGCCTGAGCGCCAGAACAAACAGGCCGGATGTCATGTCCGAATCATGGAATCCTAGCTGGTTTTGTTCATGCCACCCCTGTGAACAGGAACCAGACCTAGAGGGAAAGTGGTTGCCCCAAGCCACCGAAGGAAAGGGTGGTGTGGTCCCGTGGGGACCCAGGTCAGATTCTCAGCCAGTTCAGGCTTCAGCTCATGAAAAAAACAAAAAGGTGCATCGCCTCGAACTGACCCAAACCAGAACCAGGTGGCGCGTCGCGCGGTTCCACGTTTCCAATGGCCTTCTTCCTGCTGACGGGTATCTCCAGGCCTTTCTTCTGAGGTATGTCCAAGCTTTCCCTTAGCAACGCCCACCCCTCTCCCCAGGGACTCCCAAGGGAACTGCCCACCTACTCGTTGGAGTCCTGACTCAAACACAAGACCTCTGGGCCAGGCCGGCTTGACTTTTCAATGTTTTATTCTTGTATTTGTACAGCTATATTTTACAACGCGGTAATGCAGTTTAGACACAGCCAAACCCTGTCTCCGGAGTAGTTAGGACACAAGCATGACGCAGAATGTGATGAGACAAACGTTCCCAAAGGGAGTTGAGTTAGGACGACTCCACGTCCCTGTGTCTGCCTGCACTTCACCAAGGGCTGGCACGCTCGGCCACTGGTGGAAACTTCCATGGAAAAAGGCACCGTGAGGACACGTTGTACAGGTATATACAAACTGAAAACGAGAACAAAACTACACATTGTTTCCTTCTGCAGCTGGTTGTTTTGTTTTTTTTGTTCTTTTTCTTTTTAATACACACTTTGTAAATTGTAAACCTTCACTTGCAAAAAAATACAAATACACAGAGGCATTTTAGACAAAATATTTTCTTACTTATACAGATGCAATACTTAAAATATTCTCTTAAGTGCTCTTTCTCAATAAAGATTCTCAAATCCGTGTCTGCCTGCAGATACAAAATCGAGCCTTTAACACAACTTTATATATTTAATATATCTTTTTTTTTCGGGTTTATATATATTTATTATATATATATTTATATATTTACAACTCTGCCATATATTCCTTCACCTTTGGTTAAAAAAATTAAAGCCCTCTCTTTGATAACATACTGAAGTCTCCTCTTTTAAAAGAATGCACATTTACATATAAAAGAAACATCTGTTCCCACAAAACACATACATTCCTCATTTTGCAGCAGACTGTCCAGTCAGAACTCAGGCCGACTCCCCCGGCTTCGCGATAGAAAATGATTTTGCCTTTTGCACACATGGTTCGCCTTACACGTCGGAGAAGAAGCAATATTATTTTCTTAATGTTTGACGGCAGTGGGGGCAGGGGAGCTACCTCGGCCCCCAGCGCCCACTGCCCCTCCCCCAGCCCGCCCCCTCCCTCTCCCCCCAGCTATGATTTGCTCTAGTGGATGAAAGAGGCACTACGTCATGGGATGGACATCGTAAAGTGTTACAGTATCCTTTGGGAGGTCCTGAGAAGGCTCAGGAGGGACGCATCCACACGGCAGGCTTCAGCAGGCTTTGGGGAGCTCGGGAGGCAGGTCGGTGGCAGACACGCGGTACTGCACCTTGGTGTTGGTGATGGCGCCGTGCTTCTGGCGCAGGTGCAGACGCAGCTGGCTTTTGTGACGGAAGTGCAGGTTACACTTCTCGCACTGCAGGGAGAAGAGGAGTACATGGTGAGCTGCTTAGCCCTCATCCGCCCAAGGCCACGGGAAAAATCCTGAGGAATCCTGGCTTCTGCTAATGGACGGGGCTTTCTTTCGGTTTCCAAAAAAAGGCTGTCACTGGATTGGACTCTGATTCAAAGCAGCCCCCTCTGTCTCAGAGCAGAACGGTGCTGGTTTTGTGCGAGTCAATCACCAGGCCTTTCTTCTGAGGGCCTCTCAAATCTCTACACTTTGCTAAGGTTCCATCGCTGCTTTCTAAAATGTTGCTCATACCGTCCCCACTCCTTGATGTGTCTCTTCCTCAACTCCCCCAAATTCAAATCATGTCTACAAAGTGCCGCTCAGATGGACCTTCCCCTAAGGATTCAGGTTTACCTCATGCTTTCTGGGGTAAAACGAACCCATTGTTCCTTTGGGCATCCTCATGCTGTGCTACCTTCATCAGGTGGGGAACTCTCAGAGGACAAGAACGACGTCCCTAAACGTGACAGTCCTCGAGTGACTAGCAGTGTGCAAGACTAGCCTCTTGCACAAATAGACAACAACAAAACACCAAAGCTCACTGCCATCAAGTTGATTCCAACTTAAAGCGAGCCTGTATGACAAGATAGGAAACCCTGTGCCTTTCCGAAACTCTAACTCAACTCTTTATGGGAGTAGAAAGCTTTTCTCCCAAGGAGTAGCTTGTGGTTTCGTAGTAACCACCACACCACCACAGCTCCTGGACAAATAGACTGGATCAGGTTAAATTCGTGGACATTCTAGAGGTGAGTCTACAGATGCAGTTGTAGTCTCTTGCCGCACACAGTTTAAGTACACGCATGTGCACATCGAGATGTTTCTCGCTTTGATAAATGAACGTATGAACAATGTCAGTGAAAAGGTTACTTAACAATAATATTTATAACTCCATTTTACACCTGCAAACTACAAAAAACCCACATGTGCAAGTCAGACGAAGGCTCATAGGAGAGCCGAAGAGTCAAAGGACTCCAGTCCCCGTCCACCCAGCCCGATGGAGTTGCAGCACTTGTTTCGAGAATTTGAAAACTGCTCACCTAGAGCATCCTCATCAGATCAGAGGAAGGCCGAAGAGACAGCAGGCTTGGGGGCCCATAGCGCTTAGCTGAGGCTGCCATAAGCATTGGCATCTAAGGCAGAATAAGGGCTCAAAAGTCCCACCTGCTTGGCCAACATCATTCCCCTTCAAAGCAGAAGGAGACACATCTGCGAAGGACACCTATTGCCCGCACCAGCGGATAAAGGATAGATCGTAAACAGCAGGCTTTGGGGACCACCCGTGCTTGACAGCAACTACTCCACACAGCCCTTGCAGCAAGCCAGCACCCAGGAAGTATAGAAACAGCAGAGCAGGCTGTGTTCCACGCGGACTCCGAAAGTTAGATTTTATATAATCTGCGCAGACCATACACAGTATTCTGCTTTTGATTTTTTTTCAACCATTTAACAATAAAATGAAATGATTTTAAGGGTTTGTTGTTGTTGTTCACAGAACATATAAAAGCTAGCCTGTGGGCCATAGTTCATAAGCCATGTTCTAGAATACTGCAATTGCAACGGCTTATTCATGGCAACAGGACCCTAGTGACACAAGGGCTACGAACACGCTTGTTCACCTAGTGGTCCATGGTTCAAAGCTACCAGCGGCTCCAGGGAAGACAAGAGCTGACGGTCTGTGTCTATCCAGATTTCAGCCTGGGAAACCCTATGGGGCAGTTGTACTGTCATGCTGGGCCGCTGGGAGTCAGCATGACACAGGGCAACATGCTAAAAAGCTGACCACCTCCTCCTCTTTCACACACCCTTCTCTCGGATTTCTTTCTCATGAATACCATCTTTTTCTAGTTCTTTCTACTTCTGTAACTGGTCCTCCTCAGTTCCTTTAAAATATGAGGCTAGGCCAATAGGGGCAGGTTGTAGGCATGCAGTAAATATTTGGAGAATAAATGAATGACTCTAGAATCCATGTATCCATTGTCCAGACGGGGTCCCTAAAGCCCAGGTCACCTACCCTGAAACCCCCATTTTAAAGATGAACAAACTGAGGCCCAGGCCAAGTTCCAGCAAGGTGTCTTTGACAGGCTTAGTCTAAGTCTCTACCATTCGTTCAGTGGTCATCCCACTACATGCTTGAGACTGGAGCAAACACTTGGGTCCTCCCCACCCCGCCCCAGGCCAGTCTGGGCCACAGGAGGCTCACGTACGTGGTACGGCTTCTCGCCCGTGTGAATTCGTAGGTGGCTCTTCAGGGTCTGGAGGTGCCGGAAACGCGTGCCACAGATTTCACAGGGGTAGGGCTTCTCGCCAGTGTGGATGAGCACGTGGGCACGGAGGTGGGCCACCTGGATGGAGGAACAAGGTCTGTGAGGCTCTAATGGCTCTGGCCACAGGGCCTGCTGGCACCCCTCCTCCGCAGGCGCCCTATAGCGTCCCCTGCTCACCTGGACAAATCTGGCTCCGCAGGTTTCGCATTTGTAGGGCTTCTCTCCAGAGTGAATTCGAGTGTGGGTTTTCAGATTGGCTGGCCGGTTGAACTGGGCCCCGCAGATGTTGCAACGATAGGGTTTCTCACCTATTGCCGAGAAAAAGGAAAGAAGAAGAGAAAAGCCGTATTCAGTGGGAGGATGTTCACAGTCCCTGGCCAACGCCCTGCAAAGCAAACCGATCAGATGAGACAGAGAATTCAGGCCTGTCACCTGGTCACCTTGCTCACTCATGAGCTCTCTCTCTCTCTCTCTCTCTCTCTCTCTCTTTCACGCACGCACACACGCAGGCACACAAGCAAGCAAGCAAGCAAGCAGGGCATGTGGGCCAGAATTGCAACGCTGAGAGAGGGAGGAGCGTTCCAGGGAGCCTGGGTTTGGGAACCAGCTGTCATTCCAATTCTAGGGCTGCGGGATCTAGACAAGTCACGCTCCTTCTCTGGGCCTCTGGGCCTCAGTTTACCCCATCTAGGAGCCCACCCTGACCATCTGGGCAGGCTGCTCTCTCTTCTCTTGGATGCAACTGATTCAACAATCAGCCCACTCGCCAGGGAGTTCACCAGCAGCCCGCTAGCTCTAGTTTCTCCCTTTCAGAGCAAGCACTCAACCCCCACCATGCTCCCCTGCTGGTGGTAACCGGTAAATGGCAGGGGGATTCCATATACTAGAGGAGGGGTGGGCCTGAGTTTGAGTAGATGCTCAGCTGGAAGAACCCAGCAGCAGGACTGAGCCATCCCTCCTGGAAAGTGCCTGGGAATAGCAGAGTTACTTAAAGAGAGGTCAACCCTGGGGGGCGGGGGTGGGGTGGGGGGTGGGAGCAGGACCAGGTTATGAGAAGCTACTTGGTCAAAGAATGTGAGTTCATAAGAAGCAAGTCCTTAGGGGAAATCAAGAGGTCTCCAATTCTTTCTGCCTCTGTAAAAGCCTAAGCCACTCTGCCTCTTCCGACCTCCGTTTCCTGACCTGTGCCATGCAGTGCACATTTCTGACCCAAGCAAAGGCAGAGAAGCAGGACAGACGTCTCAGAAAAAAGACAAAGGATACAGGAGGCGGGCCAGTCACTAAACTAGGGTGCGATAGGGCGAAGCAGCCCTCATTCAGGCTAAGACAGTGGCTGCTCCCTGCCTAGTCCACCAAGGGCTCCCACATCTTGCTCCAGGCCCCCTGCCCTGGGCCACCTGGAGAGCTGGGTGGGGTTGGGCAGGGCCATACCCGTGTGGACGGTCTTGTGGCTGGCGAGGTTGCCCTTGTAGCGGAAGGAGGCCTGGCAGCGGTCACACTTGTAGGGTTTGTCACTGTGCGTCTGCAGGGTGTGCCTCTTGAGCGAGGCCTCCTCAGAGAATCGGCAGTCACACTCATTGCAGAAGAAGGCCCCATTCTCTGTTAGGGATGGGAGGGGGACACCACATCAGCGCGAGAGGGGCTGGGAAGGGGAGAAGGCAACGAAGCTGTTCTCCCCACTGCCTCCAGGGCCAAACTGAGCCCCAGCCCCTGCCCGCCCAACATGGGGGAGCCAGAGCCAAGGACCTGCATGGTTTCATTGTTCCTAGCATTTCATCTCAGTCTTGGAGAAGAACGGAGACAGCCCAGCAGGGGAGCTCACACCACCAGGTCCCTCCTGGCCAGCCCCAGCCCCAGCCCCAGAGGAAGGCTCTGCAGAGTTCTCCCTCCTCCTGCGAGAGCTCTGAGCACTGACTTTGCTAATCAACCCCCAGTTTTCTCCACATTCAGACTCAGAAGCCCTCGTGCCAGAAGCCCTCGTGTCTCTGCCCCTCCTTGGCTGCCTCTGTCTCCCTGCTGACCTCAGGCCCATTCCAGGAATGAAAGATGCAAATCAGGCTCCATCAAGCTCAAGGTCAATGAAGGGGGGTGCTCCCCAATAATGGAGCTGGCGAGGCTATCCTTCTGCCTGTCTGGATTCCATGTCTCCCAAAGACATCTGTGAGCTTAGGGGAGCCAAAGATGGGAGCAGAAACAGAGGCCCAGAGAGCGGGAAGTGCGGAGCAAAGGCAAAGGCCCAGGGGCAGGCGGGAACAGCCCAGCTCTCCCAACCATCATCAGAGTTCAAGGTCCTGGGCCAAACCACTGGACATAAGCAACCAGTTTTCCTCTTTCCCCTTCTTCTCCTCTGATGACAGTTGGAAAGGCCATGCCATTGTGGCTGAGCCCCGACTAGGGATTCCTGGACTAGGGATTCCTGGACTCTATAGTTTTGCAGCCAAATCTTGAGTGTAGAATCTTTTACTTTTAGACTACCCAGAGACTTCTCCCTCTGAAGTCTGCAGGGGGGTGCCAACATGCACACAGGTCCACTCTAGTAGCTCTGGAAGGCGGGGAGGGAGCCCAGAAAGCCAAAGCTGGGGCCGCAAACCACCTCTACTGCATGGAGCTGAAAGGCATGTCTTGACTACTCCAGACTAACTCTAACACTCCACCCCTGGCTGTGGTGGCTTCAGTTCCCTAAGAAGGTCCTTAAGAAATGCAGAGTGATGGGCTAGGGTGATAAATGCCAGTGGAAGGACTTCCAATGAGGGGTTTCTCCAAGTCAATGACAACAGCAGAAATAGAATGAAAACCCAGTGCTTCTTCTCCCTGGCATAGGAAAGGCAGGCAGGGGACTCACCACAGCTGGAATCCGAGTACTCAGACTGGGTCTCTCCCATCTCCTCGGGGAAGGCGGTCCCTGGCGTGTGGAGACACAGCTCTGCATGCTGAGGAGACTGCGAGCCGCAGGAGGTGCACTTGGGAGGGTGCAAGTAGAGTGGTGAGTGGCTCTCACTGCTGCTGCGAGGGGAGCCTGTCAGGGACCTGTGGGTAGGAACAAGGAGAGCCTGAGCTCCTGCACACTTGCCCTTGCCCTGCAGTCAAGGAAGCTGAGAGCAGAGTTGGCCTTTCAGAATCCCCATGACTACCACCTAGCAGCAAGTGCTAGCTGAAGCCAAGTCAGGCCTCAGCGCCAGACGACTGGTGGTGCTCCCCTCAACACTGCAGCCCCAGCCTCACCCAATCCAAAGGAAGGAAGAGGACCCCATGCCACACTGAGACAAGGATGGCCTTTGGGCTCCATCCATGCTCTCTGCTAGAAAGGGGAGTCTTGTCTCTTGTTTGCA